GCTGTCCGTGCGCATGGCCGGGAACAGCTCCATGCCTAGGTCAGCTCCAAGGGAGCGAACGCCCAGGGCAACTGACGTCCCCTTCACTCCGGCCGTGAACTCCGCCTCGCCGCCAGACAGCGCGGTCGTGCCCTGTGTGCTCACCGTGCTCTTGAGGAGGTGCGCACCATGGAACGCGAAGACGGAGCTGACGCTCTTCCTGTCATTCACGTCGCCAGCCCAGTCGGAGTCGCAGTAGACGTCAATGTGCTGGCCCTCGTGGTGCTGCTCGACGAAACTCTGGACACACCGAGGTTCACCCTTGAGGAACCTCGCAACTCTCTTCAGACGAGCCAGCCCGCCAACAGTAGGTACCGCCATGTGTTTGCAGCACTTGTTGACAACGTACTGCAAGTGGGGTGCATCTTGGGCCAGGAACCCGAGCCGCATGCAGAGGGATCTGTACGCCTTGGCCTCATTCGCACCCTGCAGAGGGGCGTCGTCGTAGTAGCCAGCCCCTTTCTCCGTAGGGGTCGACGCAGCCTTGGATCCACGTCCGCTCAAGCCGAGCTCGTGAACCAAGATCTCCGCGTGTCGAGGGTCTGGCTCCATCGCGATGCGGCTCTTCACTCCAGTGCCACCGTCGACGTAGGAGATGAGCCGATTGAGGATCGTCGCGTGCTTGTCGTCCGAAGGGGTCAGGCCCAAGAAGAGCCTTCCTCTGCACCAGCGTGTGCTTCCGCAGCTCTGCCTCCATCGCGTCGAGCTGGTGCTCCTCGCCCTCGAAGATGAAGTCGTCACCGTGAACAACTCCTGACGACGACCCGTCTGAGTTGGAGAACGCGCATGGGCAGGAGACTCCTGCCTTGTAGCCGGCCAAGCCCAACATGTCTTGGTGGTACTCTTCCCAGCCAGCCGCCGCGTCTCTCATGCCGTACATCATGCGGAGCAAGAGCCCAATGCCTCCGCCATCCTCAGGAGGGATGCGGATGAACAGCTTGCGCTTCGCCGCTGGGTGGAAGCGCGCCCTCGAGATGTCCAGGGTGAGTGCCTTCTTGACCTTGAAGCCGCCAGTGGGCCTCCTAGCCTTGGTCATAGCCTTGCTCAGCACCATCTTGACGCCTTCCCACGGGGGTGTACCAGCGAACGTGTCCTCGAGCCAGGGATTCTTCCACTTGAACTCCTTCGCGCAGAGCCTCGACCGAACATTCATGTTGTCGAGGTCGCCCTTGTTCACGTCGACCCACCTGGTGTCTATGATCTCGTGCCCCTCCACCTCGCTGGCCTCCACGTGCTTGTAGACGGGGAAGCTGCGGAGAAACTCTATCTCCTTCTTGCGTGCTGGCCCCACCTGCTCAGGAGGAAACCGCACGCCCGTGATGTCATCGAAGATGTTCTCGTACTCCGGGAGGTGCAGCATCTCGCGGGTCTCGGTGTCCACGTTGTAGCCCACGCCCATGCTGCCCACGGAGACGCCCATGCCGCTCAGCATCTTGTCGTGCTCCACCTGCTCCTTGAACCCGCGTTGGATGGCCGCCACGAGAGCTGGAGGGTAGTTGGCCTTGTGCTTGGCCCTACCGTCGACCAGGTGCACGTGATCGTGGCACCCTCCGCGTCGGTTCCTGCACTGAAACTTGGAGAGCTCCTTCGCAATACACAGGGAGTTGGTGATCCAGCCCGTACGGCCCTGGACTGTCATGTTCTTCATGGCCCCGTCGCCCTGCTTGACAGGGACGGTCTGCCCTGCCTCGCACTGGTCGTTGACGATGTGAAAGACGCCGGTCTTGCGGAGGAGGTCCTGAATGCCCTTCACGTGCCAGGACCTCGCCGAGTGCGGCGCCTCGTGCAGGAAGTAGCGCCCGTTGTCCAGCTGCTCGTAGTACATCCTCACACAGGTGTCCATGTGGTCGATAGCCTCGGCCATGAGGCCGTCGAGCGTGTCCTGCTTAACCTGTCCGAAATTCAAGAGTGTGGTCCACGCTGTGCAGCGTGGAGAGCCGATAAGGAGCAGAGGCCGATCACTGGCTTGGAGTCGTGCCGCCTCGTCCTTGTGCGTGGGAATGTTCAGGTCCCATCCAGTGCTGAGGTCGAGAGCGAACCCTGGGGTGAGTCCGAACTCGCGGGCACGCTCCAAGAACCTGCCGCGCCCGAAAACCTCGGAGACCGTCGCATCGTTAGACTCGACCTGGCTCAGCTCGATCGGGTTGCCGCCGAGCTTGATCAGGTCAGCGTTGATGGACTTCGCGATGGAGCTGAGGTCGTCTCCCGCCATGGCGCCACCGCCACCGTCGTCGCCAACCATGGCTGCGTCCTCGTCCACCACGTCCATCCGTAGGTCGTCGCCCCTGCCTGCGCCTTCCGGCACTGAGGGAGCCGCCCCTTCCACAACCATGGGTGCTGGGGCCGCCGGCGCCACCGCCGAAGAAGAAGATGATGCTGCCGCGCCAGGGGAAGCTGCCGGAATGCCCGGCGATGCACTGGCGCCGGCGTGGGGGGTGCTGACTCACCGTCTGGTCCGATCCTGCGCTTCTTTGCGGTCTCCAAGCGCCCAGCAAGCGGACCTTGGCGATCGGCCATCGCCTGCTCCACTCGGGCCCTGCAGGCCTCAGAGTGAGCCACCGCGGTCCTGCCCTCCCGGGCAGCCCTGCAGCCCCTGCAGTTGTCGGTGTACCCGAAGCCGCCCTCCGCCACCGGCCTGAGCTCGACCTCCCGGCGGATGTAGACGCGTCTCGGTCCTGCTGGCGATCTCCCAGCCAGCGGGGGCGGTAGTTCCTCTGCTGGAACCGCCGGGGCGGCAGCCCTGAAGGGCTCGATGCCCTCTGCGTCGTCGTCACCTGCCTTCCGGGGCCCCAGCCGAGGGAGCCCCCTGCAAGCCTCCGCGAAGCTCTTGTCGCCCCGCTGCTCATCCGGAAGCCTCCGGATGGTGTTCGCCTTGAAGTAGCCTTCCTTCGTGAGGGCGATCACCTCGTCCGTGCGGTCGACGAGGCCCACGTACATGCCTGTGTGGAAACGCTCGTCCAGCTTCCGCCGATGCTTGCCATCGGCGACCGTCGAGAACATCACCAGCTCCCCAAACTCTGGAAGCCGCCTGCGGTAGGGTCGCCCCTCCCGCCTCTCGAAAGCAGTCCTGCCGTCGTCACCGGATCGCTGGAACCGATTCAGCAGCTGCGACGAGTAACGAATGGCCCAAACTACCAGAGGATGAGCCGCGTGAAACTTCGTGCCATGAAGCTCCATAGCCTTGTGAATGAGAGCGCGCGTGAGGCTCTGCACCTCCCAGATCGCGCGCTCGATGTAGCCGTTCTTCTGAGAGTCCCCCACAGGGCTCTCCTCTGGGGTGACGTTGATCTCTACGCCAGTCCGGCGGACCTCGGAGACCGCGCTCTTCTTGACCGCCACCAGAGCCGGCTCGCCGTCGGACTTGAAGATGAACCTGCCGTGGCCAGTGTTGACGATGTCCTGGGCCACGATCTTGGTAGAGTACTCGTGCTGGACACCCTTGCTCTGCGCCGCGTGGGCGTCCAGCCAGCGCGTGCCCGTCGGAGGCGGGCCGTCCTTGACAACGATGAAAGGGATGGTCGAGCTCTCGATCCTCTCGACCTCGCTCTTCTCGCCCAGGAAACCGTAGTCGGCGTGCAGCGTGGGGGTCTGGCCCGCGACCTCGGAGGCTCGATGCTGATCGGCGTTGCCGCGCCCAGCCACACAGCGTCTGCGCCAAGCTCGACGGGGTAGGTGGCACGCGTTGTGCTCGGCCACCTCGTCTGGAGTAGGAAGCATCGGACTCGCCAGGACTCGCAACTTCGGCCGTCCCACGTCCGCATCACCATGCATCTGGGCATCAGCATCGCCCGAATTGTGTGGAGGTGCAGGCGCCGGTGCAGCCAGAAGTGGGGGTCCAGCCTGGGCCGGTGCCGCCGAAGAAGATGCTGCCGCGCCTCCTGCCGTGCCTGCTGCTTCAGCAGGCGGAGAATCTCGTAGGTCCTGCAGGGGAGCCAAGGTCACGGGCCCCCACCGCAGCTGCTTCTTGCACCCGTCGGGTCTCACGGTCAAGCCTGCCCGCTGCCCCCCGACCAAGGGGACACGGACGCCTCGATCTCGAACGCGTTGTTGACGCGCTCGATGCCCACCCTCCTGCCGGTCTGCGGGTGGATAGCGTAGGCGCCCTTCTCGCCGTCCGCGTAGAAGTGCACGTCCAAGCCCATGTCGTTCATCTCCGCAACGCTCAGCAACGGCTTGCGGACGTCACAGACGTGAACCTTCATGCTCAGATTCTGGCCGTCGCTGCTGACCATGTCGTACGTCCTCTCGCCGAGATCCGCGATGCCCCTGCTGCCCTTGCCGGCTGGTACGTACTCGAGGCCCGACCTCGACTCCGGCGTGGACTTGGTCGGGTAGTCGCTGCATAGGTCCTTGGGCCAGACCGTCACACCAGCTCCCGAGTCCACGCCGATCCTCACGAGCCTGTCGCCAAAGCTCCCGATCTCGCAGCGCTCAACCGAGCAGAGCACCAGCGAGCCGAGCTGCTGAGTGGACGCAAAAGACGTGGTGACCGAACCCTGTCGTCCTTGGGAGTGTTGCTGAGGAGGTGGAGGCCACTGCTGCTGATACTGCTGCACTGCGTACGAGAGCTGTTGCTGCTGGTACTGATGCTGCTGCTGCTGCTGCTGCTGCTGCTGGTCGCTCAGCTGGCCGATCTGCCGGCGCTGGCCCTCCTGGCCGCGAGCCGCCTGCAGCTTCCAGCACTGCGACCGCTTGTGGCCCCAGATCCCGCAGTAGCCACACTCGCCATTGAAGTGGGAGTCTCCCTTGCCAGCACCAGCTCCGCCTTTGCCACCGCCGGCGTGACCACGCCCTCCTCCGGACTTGCCGCCCTTGCTGTTCTTGCCTCCGTCCTTGCCTTTACCCTTGCCTTTGTTGCCGCCGTCCTTGCCCTTGCCGCGGCCCTTGCCGCCGGGGTTGCCCTGGCACCAGCAGTCCCGACGGGTGTGGCCTGTCCTGCCGCAGACGTCGCAGCGCACTCGAGCATCGACCGCGCTGACGTCCATGGGCGACGGACCGGTGACAAGGTACTTCTTCGCCCTGTAGATACCGATGATATCGTCCTTGATCTTGTCGTACGTGTCGAGCCGGTCCGAGTTCATCATCACATGCCTCGCCAGGTCATCCTGGCGTATGCTCTTGATCACGATCCCCGTGCGGAGGTCGTCGTCCACGGTCTTGCCCGTTGCGTTCTCGTACTGCTGGACTACCTTCTCGAAACGGCCGAGCTCGTGCAGGACATCATCTGACTCGAAACCGAAACCCAACACCTGCTGGAAGAGCCCCGTGGTCCTCGTCACGGCTTTGCCCTCATGCTCGTCCGTGAGCGACCGCCAGAGGAGGAGCCCTTGGCCTCGCCCGACGAGCGTGACCTTGTCCGATGCCTTGCCCTCCAGCAGCATCGTGAGGATGTAGTAGAGCTGGGTGCTGAGATCCTTGTCGCGGCCCGACTCTAGAGCCGCATTCGCCGCGTTCTCCGCCGCCTCGGCCTCGTCCATCAGGAAGAGGAGGCGCTCACTGATGGCCCCTGCGTACGCTCGCATCGTGAGGGCCCACTGGTGCCAGTCGTCCTCCTTGCCACTGAAATTCTTCGGCTTCCCCATGAGCCGAGTTTCCACGACCTGATGCTGGTGTGGTGCCGCTGCCGCCCTGGCCGCTGCAGCCAAGGCGGCCTCCCGCTGCTCTTCCAGGGATCCCCTGAGCATCAGGTTGGCATCCCTCAGCTCGACGATCTGGCGCTCAAGCACGGCGACCCGTTGCTCTGTCATTGATCTCCTTGCGCTGGCCTGACTTGATGATCTTCAGCCACTGGCCTAGGTGCCCAAAACACGGTCTCTTAAACGTCAGACGAGCGTGCTTGACGAGAAACCTGCGCCAGCTGTCCACCAGCTCCTCGGAATTACTCTTCTTGGGCCCGTCTTCGATGAGGTCGAAACCGCTGTCCGTGCCCTGTTGCTGTTCCGGCATGCAGCCGCCGCTGGCCGTGGCGGGAAACGCTCACGCTACCATGAGAAATTCTTTTGCCAGAATGGCTGCGGACAGGCACGCAGATCCTGCTGTCAAACGTGCTTATCTCGACAGTTAAACATGCGGCGCTCAGGCAAAAACCATATTTTGAAAAGAAACCGCCCTCAATCCGTGAAACTCTTGCAAATTGAAAACGAGTGTGCGCGGCGCTAAAGCGAACACCAAATGTTAAAAACAACCCGACCTCAAACCGTGAAGCTCTTGCAAACCTAAAAGCAAGTGCGCGGCGCTGACGCGAGAGCCACATTTTGAAAACCACCCGCCCTCAACTTGTGAAACTCTTGCACATGTTAAAAACGAATGTGCGCGGCGCTAGGGCGAGAACCACATTTTCAAAACCACGCGCCCTCAATCCGTGAAGCTCTTGCAAGCTTCTGAAACGAATGTGCGCGGCGCTAAGGCGAGAGCCACTTTCTGAACCCCCCCCGCCCTCCATCTGTGAAGCTGTTGTCACTTTTTAAGCTCCAGAAATGGTGAGGAAGTCTCAGGCGAAACGCCTGGCCCACCTTAAAAACTGGCCTCGGGGTGCGATAGCAAGGACTTGTTTACACGGAGAAGGAATGGAGGAGGAGGAGGAGGAGGAGGAGGAGGAAGAGGAGGAGGAGGAGGAGGAGTGGAAACCCAAGAATCATCATCGATGTTGGAATGAACCCTCCCTCCAAGCTCCCTCTTAATAGCCCCCTACAACGGTTCATTTCCATTCAAGGAACTGCCTCGTTGGAAAACAACAGTTTGAAGATCCGGAAGCGTTCTCGGGATTTCAACGCCACTTATCAACCTGACTGCTGCGTCTTGACGATCCAGAATCGTGCCAGAATGCCGTCTGGAGGCTTCAACACAGCGAATCAACATAACTGTTGCGCCCGCATAATCCTGAATCCTTCCAAAACACCAGCTCTGGTGCCTTGATCATTTGGGAACTCGTGAAACTCTTGCAACTGTTACAAACGTATGTGCGCGGCGCTCAGGCGAGAACCACATTTTGAAACATAACCGCCTCAATCCGTGAAACTCTTGCAAATTGAAAAACGAGTTTGCGCGGCGTTAAAGCGAGAACCACATTTTCAAAACCACACGCCCCAAAAACGTGAAGCTCTTGCAAACTTAACAATAAATGTGCGCGGCGCTAACGCGAGAGCCACATTTTGAAAACCACCCGCCCTCCATCTGTGAAACTCTTGCAAATGTTAAAAACGAATGTGCGCGGCGCTAAGGCGAGAACCGCATTTTCAAAACCACCCGCCCTCAATCCGTGAAGCTCTTGCAAGTTTCTGAAACGAATGTGCGCGGCGCCAAGGCGGGGGCCACATTTTGAAAACCACCCGTCCTCAATCCGTGAACTCTTTCAAATGTCTGAAACGAATGTGCGCGGCGCTGAGGCGAGAGCCACTTATTCAAAACCACCCAGCTTCAATCCGTGAAGCTCTTGCAAATTTCAGAAAACAAATGTGCGCGGCGCTAAGGCGAGAGCCACATATTGAAAGCGATCCGCCCTCCATCTGTGAAGCTGTTGCCACTTCTTAAGCTTCAGAATCATAAATTGTGAAGAAATCTCATGCGAAACGCCCGGCCCGTCCTAAAAACTAGCCCCGGAGTGTGACAGGGAAGAGTTATCTAGAAGGAGAAAGAATGGAGGAGGAGGAGGAGGAGGAGAAGAAGGATGAGAAGAGGAGGAGGAGGAGGAGGAGGAGGAGGAGGAGGAGGAGGAGGAGAGGAGGAAGAAGAGAGGGAGAGGAAAAGGAGAACGAGGAGGGAAAGAGGTAAGGAAGGGAGGTAAAAGGAGGAGGAGAAAGGAAGAGGATAGGAAGGGAGGAGGAGGGTGAGGGCGTAGGGAGAGGTAGAGGAGAGGAAGTAGAGGAAGCAGAGAGGAAGGAAAGGGGTAGAAGGAGGAGAGGAAGAGAGGGGGGGAAGGAGGGGAAGAAGGAGGGAGGAAGGAGGAGCAAGGAGGAGGAAGAGAGGAGAGGATAGGAAGGAGAGGGAGGAGGAAGGGAAGGAAGAGGAGGCAAAGGAGAAGGAGGAGGAGGAGGAGGAGGAGGAGGGGGAGGAGGAGGAGGAGGAGGAGGAGGAGGAAGAGGAGGAGGAGGGGCCCTCCTGGTGGTGTGGTCCCACCCACCCACGCTCGAGACTTTCCTCTTCTCAGCGGACGAAGTGCGGTATAGAAATACACTGCTCCGCCAGCGGGGGCGCCTGCCCCTGAGCAGCCGGAAGCTTTACACCCCGTCGCACCACCGTAGGAATATGACCTAGAGATCCGAGGATCTGATTCTTTCAATCTGGCGTTTTTTCTGGATTTCGGCCTCCGGGGCCCGTAACCGGGCCCGGGACCATCAAGGGGTTGGCACCCCTGGGGCCGCGGATCGAAAAAATCATGTCGGCAGATGTCTGGGGACCTTCACAGCCGCTGGGGACAACAGTCCCCCGATGACAGAACAATTTCTGCTATACCGTTCTGCGTCCGCAAACCCCAAACGGCCCCTCGGAGGCCGAAAAAGGCAACACTCTTTTTCGAACCCAGGGCCTCGAACCTGCCTGCCCTTCCTGCCCTGCGCTGGGCAGGGTGGCGCGGAGGCGTTTCCCAATATGTCGCCGCGCCGATTGTTCTGAACGCGCCCAAGTGGTCGACGCTGGCACCACGGTAAACCCACGGCAAACCCTACGTCCAACGCCCCAGCAGACGAAGCCAGCACCGCGGCAAACCCCACGGCAAACCCGCCGCGCCCGAGGTGGAGTTTGCCCTGGTGGCCGAGGCGCCCGTCCCAAGACGCAAGCCAGCGCGTCGGAACAAACGGCGCCGCAAAATATGCTCTCTATGACGTTTAAGGTGCTGCAAGTTTGTGTCGTGCCGACTTCGGCGTTGGTTTCTGACACCGCGGGGGTCGTTCAACCTTGCCCGACCGACCGCTTACGAAACGTCAAATCGTCATCGTTCAGCATCGACCGATTTTTGGTCGCCGGCGGCGTTCAGCGTTGAACGCCGGCGGCGGGGGCGCCGCCAGTCGACACGACGCGACTCTGCCGCACTGGAACTTCCAGGAAGCTCCGCACTTTCGCCGAGGCAGGGGGGGGGAGGGCTGAGGGGGGGCAACCACCCCTGTTGCCTCTACCCCCCCTGCCTCGGCGAAAGGTGGGACGAGGCCAGCTCCTCCTCCTCCTCCTCCTCCTCCTCCTCCTCCTCCTCCGCCTCCGCCTCCGCCTCCTCCTCCTCCTCCTCTCCTCCTCCTCCTCCTCCTCATCCTCCTCCTCCTCCTCCTCCTCCTCCTCCTCCTCCTCAACGTGGAGGGATGATATATCTATATATATATGATGGAAGTGGTAGGGAGGGGAAGACGAAGCGAGCGTGCGCGGAGACGGGGGCAGAGCTGCCTTGCTGAGTGCCGTCGCCGTGGGCGTACTGGCACGAGTGGCCTGCAGGCGGGGAGTGCCCCCCGGTGCTGCTGGCGACGGGGGGCGCGGGAGGAGGGGCCGACGGCAGGCGGGGAGGCGGACGCCGGGGCCTCGGACTGAGGAGGAGGAGGAGGAGGAGGAGGAGGAGGAGGAGGAAAAGGAGGAGGAGGGGGAGAGGAGGAGGAGGAGGAGGAGGAGGAGGAGGAGGGAGGAGGAGGAGGAGGAGGAGGAGGAGGAGGAGGGGGAGGAGGAGGAGGAGGAGGAAAGGAGGAGGAGGAGGAGGAGGAGGAGGAGGAGGAGGAGGAGGGGGAGGAGGAGGGGGAGGGGAGGAGGAGGAGGAGGTGGAGGAGGGGGAGGAGGGAGGAGGAGGAGGAGGAGGAAAAGGAGGAGGAGGAGGAGGAGGAGGAGGAGGAGGAGGAGGAGGAGGAGGAGGAGGAGGAGGGAGGGGGGAGGAGGAGGAGGGGAGGAGGAAGAGAAGGAGGAGGAAGAGGCTGGGAGGCAGACGCCCGAGGTGCAAGTCGTGATCTTCTCTCTCGCGCCCTCCCTCCCCAAGAGGACCTCAGGACAGGGGCACAGTCGGACCCGGATAGAATCGGGGGTCTCTGAGATCTGGCGGCTCTGGAGGATGCATCGGGCGCCGTGGCACTTCCAGAGTGCTCCAGGACGCTCCGAGAGCGTTCGGGAACGCTCTCTGGAATGAATTATCCCTTTCCTGGCCCCGCCCGCTGCCCATGGAGGAAGAGACAAACTTCATAGACCTATACGACCCCCCTTCGGGTGACAAGGGGCAAATTCGATGGGTGCAATGATGACGATGCTGGTGACGTGCCCTCGAGTTAGCGACGACGCTTGATGACGATGTTGCGCTGCGATGTAATGCCACTATCGTCCCCGCTTTCGATCTCACTCGATCGATCCTACTATCGACCTCACGGGCAGTCTTGGTACCAATGGATTCAGCGATCGATCCCATTTTGCTTGCCCCAGGGGAGATCGCCTGTCCCTGCAAGATCTGCACGACACAGGGGACGTCGTCTCCCTGCGCATCCGACAGGCGAGCACAACCCATGTCACAGTCAACCTCACTGTCGATCTCACTTTTTGATCTCACTATCTAACCCATTCTAGCGATCTTCGAAACCATGGCGGAACACCCCTGGCCACCGCCCGCCCACCGCCGACGGAACACCGACGGAACACCGACAGGGCACCACGGCGGGACACCCAAGGACACCGCGCGCCCACTGGGGGCGGAGGGGCGGTACAATGCATCCGAATCGCCGTAGCGACGGCGGGGCCACTCTTCTCGCGCGCCCACGCAGCTTCGCCTCGCCCGCACGCACGACACGAGCACGAAACCGACGCCGATTTCTCGGTAAGGAGCTCGCCACTGAGATCTCACCCCCCCAACCATCGACAATTCTGGAGGTCCGCATGATTTTCCGGAATCGGCGCTGGACGTCTCCCCGGCGCACGGACCTCGCCAGCAGCAGCGCCGGAGGCGCCGCCTGGGGGGGGCAGGCTCCCGCCAAAGGAATCCGTGCGGAGCTTCAGCAATCTATGTTGGCGTCGCTTTTCTTCTTCGTGAACGTGCTCCATTGCCGCACGCGCCGGAAAGTATCACGTCCCACACGATCCAGACACTGCCCGATGTATCGACGCCTCCTCCATCCTGGCAGGAGACTAGTGGGAACAAATTGTTGATGGCAGCGAGTACTGACAGACAAATTATGATGGTTGCTGGGGGAATGGCGAAATCGTGCATTGCAGTGGGCGTACGAAGCAGTCGATATGCCGATCCAACGATTTGGGATCCGCTTTGCAATAACAGTACCTAGCATATACGCCGAATTTGAGCAATGCCACGCTGGAGTGCGCGAAAGAAGCAGATCAAACAGTGGCAGAGAATGAGCGCTCAAAGCTGAAAGGCACACTTGTCGACAATGGGCTGCGAATGGTCCGACCAGAGGCACCGTTTGGCGCCACTATATGACCCACTTGAGCACGATCGAAGATGGATCAGCATGCTATGAGCAACATCCCAGCCCCTGCGGGCGCACGGCTTTGTGGAAGACGTTGGCGTGGTGGACACGTAACGTAGCAATGCTGCAACATTGGTAACTCGACCAGTACAGTTAACTCGCATGGTAAGGACAAGCAACTCCAAGGCTACCATTGCATTCTTGCCCCTTCGGCCCATCCCTGGCAACTTTCCCTGGCCATCCCCGTTCGAAAAACGTCAACATGGCTTTCCAAGGCCCCTGCATCCTTACCGCGCATCCTTATTGCGCGGGTTGACTGTAGAGGCGAGCCGTAGATTGGGCGCCAAGTGTAAGACTCGCCGGAGGGCACAACTTCATGGCCCCAGAGGGCCCCCAAAGGCCCCCCAGACGCCCATGGTGGCCCCCAAGACGGGCCTGTGTGGCCTCCAGGGGCCCTCAAGATCGCCCGAGCGGCTCCAGAGGCGGAGGGCCCGGAGAGCCCGAGATCGCTGAGTGCGCATCGGTTTTAGACGATTTTAGCGATCTCGCTTGTCCGGCCTTCCGACGGCCAAAGATGGCCCAAAAGCCTTCGAAGACGGCCCAAGAGGCCCACAAGACGGCACAAGAGAGACCCGAGATGCCCGAAAAGGCCTCCAATACGGCCCCAAGCAGGCCGGCCCCCAAAACGGCCTCCTTGAGACGTCGGATGGGACCAGGGCGCCGACAGACGGCCCAAGAAGCTGCCGAGAGGCCCCAAGAGGCCCACACTGGCAGGCTGGCTTCCGAGAGGGGGGCGGCTGTGGCTCGCGCCCTGCGGGCCCGGTGTCGAAGCAGTGGCCGAGACGGGCCCGGCTTGACAGCACATCGCTTGCAGAGGACTCGGGCGCACCTGGCTCTCCTCAGGGCACACCGAGGCCGCCCAGCTGGCAGACCAACCCAAAGGGTCCATGGGAGATCACTGGAGGTCTCCCGCACGGGGCCGGAGCAGGCGGGGTCGGAGGATCGCGCCGCACCGCCGAGTCATCGGCGGTGCACCGGCGACGCTGAGACGGAGAACATCGGACTCAGTGTCGCGCCGCATGGCCGATGCATCGGCGATGTGGGGGGACCCTCTGACCCCGTCTGCCATGGTGGCCCTATTTGGCGGCTTCTGCAGCCATGAACCCCCAAAACTGCCATTTCTTGAAGGGGCGATTTTGACTTCCGCCGGGTTTCGCCCGCGGCGGCGGCGGTCTCCTTCTTTTTCCGCCGAATGCAACCAGGGCAGGAGGCAAACCCTCGCAGGGAGAATAGCGGCGCGCACAAGGGGATGGCCGAGGGAGGGGCCTTCTATGAAGGCGGGTGGGGGGGCCTTTTGAGAAGACGGGCGGTTTCTCAGACGGCCGCGCCGGCCCCTGAGAGGCCTTCTTAGAAGCCTTCCGCCAATTCTAACCAGGCCCCGCCCTTCTAAGAAGCACCCCCCCTCCTTTTAGACCGCGGCCCCCCTCGCGCTCGAAGCCGAGCCGAGGCCCATAAACTGCCAATGCGAAGCCAATGCGAAACCAATGCGAAGCGAAGGCGAAGCCAAGGCGAAACCAAGGCGAAGCCAAGGAAACGCCCGGGCGAAGCCAAGGCGACGCCAAGGCGAAACCCCGAAGCTCCGGCAGCGCGCGGACGCGGCGCGCGCCGTGCTTGCAGAAACCCGCGGCGTAGTAGCGGCACTGTCCTGGCGAGGCGACGGTGGGGCGAGAAAGAGGAGTAGAAGTGGGAGGTGGAGGAGGAGGAGGAGGAGGAGGAGGAGGAGGAGGAGAGGAGGAGGAGGAGGAGGAGGAGGAGGAGGATGAGGAGGAGAAGGAGGTGGAGTGAGGGGTGGAGGTGTGAGGTGGAGCGAGGCGAGAAATGGAGGAGGGAGGAAAGATGAGAGGGATGAGGAGGAGGAGGAGGAGGAGGAGAAGGAGGAGGAGGAGGGAGGAAGAAAAAGAGGAGGAGAGGAAGGAGGAGGGGAGGGGGAGGAGGAGGAGGAGGAGGAGGAGGAGGAGGAGGAGGAGGGAGGAGGAGGAGGAGGAGGAGGAGGAGGAGAGAGGGAGGAGGACGTGAGGAGGAGGAGGAGGAGGAGGAGGAGGAGGAGGAGGAGGAGGAGGAGGAGGAGGAGGAGGAGGAGCGAGCGAGCCGCAGGAGAGGCGTCCGAGTGACGAACACCAACCGCGTGTGAGACCTGAGAGCCACAGGGGTGGCGGAAGGCGGAAGCCTGGGAGAGGGTGGGGCGCCTCAGGAAAACCACACCCAAGAAAACCTCCCAGGCCCAAGTCCAAAAAGAAACACTAGGGGGCAGGGTTCGGGCCAGAACGCGCCGCTCCTGCCCCACGCTGGCGGGGCTCCAGGCCACGAGTGATACGGTCGATCGCCGTGAGCTGGTTCGCCCTAGTCTTTGGATTCTCCGAGAAACCTTGGCACCGCGCCCGCAGCTTGCGGGCGGACCTGAAGGACTCGGACCCGTTGAAATTGCCACCGCACTTGCGGCAGCAATACACGGAATTAACACAGAAAACGTCGTGCCCCAATTCAGCGAATTCGGCAAGCACAGGTTGGGGAAAGTCGGCCGAGCCGCTGGCAGCAGACACCTGCTCCAGCGGCTGAGGAGGGACCGCGGGGAACTCCGAGGAGGCCTCCAAAGGCCGAGACGTGGACCCCAACATCCTATCGGCCGCCTCGATGGCCGCCGTGACCCTAGAGTCCGAAACACTCAGCCACGCCTCAGAACTCCGCAGAAAGAAGTCCTCGGCAAGGCTCTGGACGAGAGGCGAGGGAGCACATACCCGATCAGCTCCCGAGCGAAGAGTCTGGAGGGTACTCGCACTCCGAGCGACACGATTGCACCGTCGACACCGATACTCTGACATCCTCTGGCAGAAGAGCAACTCGTGGTCCTGGGGCCTCTCGAAAACCACACGCGTGGGCACCTGGGCGAGCTCTGGGTCCTGCTCCACGACAGGGTCAGCTCCCCACCTCCGAAACTGCACAACCTGGAAGGCCGCCCAAGACACATAGTGCAGGACCTGCCTGTGCTGCTTCAGCCCAGCTGCCAAACTGTCAGCCAGTGTCTTTGACACCATATGCGCAGCGCTGCCACACTTCGCGAAGAAGTCGGCCCAGGCATTGCCGACGTAGGCCTCCAGCTCGTCTGGCGTGGCCGACCCGATGATGTCCTCCAGCTTCCTGTGAGCTGGAGTCCACTGAAACCGCACTGGTGGCAGACGTGGATCGCGTGCTCTGGCAGCCGAAAAAAAAATCTCTCCAGACTCGGGCGTGCTTCGCTTTGCCAAACTCAAGCCTCTGGTCCCAGGACGCACCCTCCTCCACGAGCGATTTCAGATCAGAAATGAAAACTCATGCCCAGGATGCCTCTGAAGTCCCATCTTGATGGCATAGCGCTCAGCACGTCCTACTGTCTGCACATAGTAGGGCAAGGGCCCATATACAGCTCTGGCGGGGAGCCACGTGACGGGGTCCAGCTGGCAGACCGACCACCCACACCTACGTACTTCAGGAATGCTGGCCGAGAACCCCGAACCGTCAGTATATGACGTAGGCCCCCAAGAGCCCGAGACATCTCCCCATTCAAAAACCTCATTGGAAACCGTGGTGTAGTGCGGTGCAACAACAGGCTCGGGAACCCCATAGATCAGGTATCTCTGGTCCCAGTCGGTGCACCCCAGCATCTGCCCAGACGCCTGAAGCATGCCACGAACCTCCTGAAGCTGTTCTGGAAACTCATAATACTCCTGGTCGGGGTCCCCATCGAGGAGCGGCGGGCAGTCGTAAAAGATATGACCCCAACAGGAGTCGATAGCCTTGCCGCAGGCCTGACATGGCCTAATGGGCCTCCCGTGCTTCATGCCCCGACGCGGTGGGATGGGAAGGTTGTCAGCCCACAAAGCCTGCAGCGCTCCGAGGCGCCTGTGACACTTTATCTTGGCGAGCGCGTGGCGTAGCGCACGATGCCACACGTCCGCCTGCTCGGTGTAAAAATGCTGCTGCAACCTATGGTGCTGCCAGCGCTGAATGCCTTGATGCAGGAACACTCGTAGGTCTGCTGGACATATACGATATAAATCAAAACTGTTTCCCAAATCGTCGACCAGGATGTGCTCTGACGGCATAGTCCAGGATATGCGCCTCAAAGTAAGCCAAGTGGCCCCGAGGGGCCCACGCGCCTTGGCCCAGGAAGGTGAACTCTCAAACTTAGCACCCAGACGTACCCAAGCCTCCCGAAGTCTGCTAGGTTGCACTCGCCCGTCCCGGATCCAGGAGGCGTATTTGAGCACAATGTCCGTGGTGGCGTTATATATGGGGTCACAACATCGTCCCGATGAGATATGAGATACGCTGTTACCCCAACCATCGTCTTACCTGGAGCACCATTTAGGACTGCAGCACAATGTCGCAACTCACGAAGAGCGCTGTCGCTAACTCCAGCAACTGCACCGCCATGCGCCACTGATGGAAGGGCGCCCGTGCGCCACAAGCTGGTAGCACTCCGCCCCACGGCGGACTTCAACATGCGAAAACGATGCTTGCGCTCTCGAAACTGCACCAACCTACGCTTCTCCATATGCCGAAGAACTCGAGGTCCTGTGAGCTCGTGTCCCAGATTCCTCATGTGGGCCCTGTACGGGATCTTCAAGGTTCCCAGGTGCCTCTTGAGCTGTCCCCAAACCTTTTGGTTCCCAGGGATACATCCAGACTTCGGCGGCTTCAGGACCATCCCAAGATCTCCTGCATCCGACGTAAACGCCTTGGCCGCTCGGGCCAGGTTGGACACCTCCCTCAATACGGGCGACACGTACTGCAGACCCACATCGTCCATGAGCGTGCGTGGCGTGATAGTAGGTGCAATACTGGCCGTGCGCTGGACCGCTCGGTACGTGAGGAGGTATAGAAGGTACGTGGCGTGCGTGCAGCCCGCAAGAATACCCTGATGGGCCACCAAGGGCCTAGATACAGACCCAAAACACTTGATCCTTCTCGGCTGGCGGTAGGAGCCCAGGAGCAACCACAGGAGCCTCAGCGGGTACCTGAGCTCTCTAGCTTCTCGGAGAAGTGCACTGTGACTGACCATATCGAAGCACTTGGTCATGTCCAAGAGAATGGTGCATGTGTGCTCACCTAAAAGTTCTCCTATCTCCTGGCTCAGGTTGTGGTCGAAGGCTGAATCGGTCGAAGTCTGCCCAGCCCTTGACCCCCACATATGCTCGCACCTATGCGCCTCTTGCCACTCCGCCGAAAGCGGCCGACGTAGCTTTCCCCACAACCTGACGAAAGTATTGCTGAGGACGATCAACCTAGTGTCCCCGTCAGGCTTGGGCAGGCGAACAAGCTCGCTGTAGAGCCTGTCCGTGGGCCAGGCCAGCCAACTCTCAAACAGCATGAACATATCGGCCAGGCTCTGCAAGGCCTGGTCGGACAACACATCGAGCGTGCGTGGCGCGATCCTCGTCTGGCCCGAGGCCGTCTTCAACGGAAAACTCCTGATGGCTCCACGCACCTGCGATGCAGACAAAGGCGGAAGCAAAGGCCACTGAGCATGATCGACAGGCAGCGACAGAGAACATGCACCGTGGTAAGTCCAAACGTCCTTCCACTTGTCGAGCGTGCGGTCAGCCATCTGGTATGGCTGAGCGTCGTGGGAGTAGGCAAGCACCTCCTGTCGAGCCCGAACTTTGGAGGACGAATGCGCCCGAGATGCTCCTCCCAGGAAGGCTTCTTTGGCCCACTGCCTCCAGGCCCTCTCTGACGCTCTTTGTGCCGTTCTCAAATGATGATCAGCTCTGGCAATGATTGCCTTGGCTACGTCCTCAAAGTCAGCCTCGACCAAGCCAGTCAGCCCTCGCCGAAAGAAGCCTGCGAAGGCAGCATCCAAAACACACAGCACATGCTCTGACCGAGCCGCGCGTCTATAAAAGGCAGCCACCTCGTTGAAAGCCACGACGACCTTAGTGTACTGCAGCGGCGTGATGTCGCACACGGCAGCACAGAGCTTGAGGCGCTCGATGTACCTCGCCAGCCGCTTCTTCTCAGCCACAAGGTGCTGGGCCCATCGCTTCGCCGTGGCCCAGGCCAGCACGGTCGGCTCCTTGTAGGTACGCCTGCGTGGCGGCTGCCATGACAAGTGCTGCCACTTGAACTGCGGCGGCCCCTCGCGTCCGATGTACTGCATGGCCTTAGCGCCCACGCAGTCGTAACGCCCTGCCAGCTCGTAGTCCACCCCTCGCAACACGGAGTCCCAGAGCGGGCTCAGATCGTCGGCACAGCTGACCCGTTGGAACTCTGTCTGAAGTCTATGCCACGGGTAGGGATATCTAGCACAGCCAACTGGCGGCACCACCGCAAAGGGACGTGGCTCCACAGGGACACGGCACCACGTGGGGCGATCCTCGCCCATGAGCTGCAGCTCCACAGGGAAATGCGGCGGCGGCACGACCGTGGAGTCATACTGGACCTCTGGCTTGCCCTTGATGCGAGACGCTAAATTGGCACAGACGACGAAATAGTCTATGGTGCTCTTGCCCTCATCGGTGATGCAGGTGTGCTGGTCGGGCACGTAGTGGACGGCTGCCATGGTCTCGACCCAGTTGCGAACATTGAGCGCATCGATGTCGGAGTTCCAGTCGCCACCTAGGATCCAGTCGAGGCCCCGTGAGTTCCATGCTGCAACTCTCTGTGCCA